TGTCTAGACGACAGGGATCTTCTAGTACATTATCTGCTGGTAGTTTTGAGACATGTCCTAACTGAGCGATCTCGAGGCATGGCGTCCGCCTCGAGTGCTGGAGGTCCCGGGTTCAGGCCCCGCTGAGGGCTGCGATTTCTTCATGTGAACTTCTAATAATTTCCCCTGGTCTCCGGGTAGTAAGATCAGAGGCTCGTGTGTACTGTTGCGCAAGTACAAAAATCCTCTGGCAGTTGGAAATCGAAATGAGCAGTTTAACGGCCCTGCTCGGTCACAATTTAAAGTAAAAAATCTACCCAAGTATTCCAGAATCCTCGCCGGTGCTAGGGATTTCGTGCACTGCGAAGAGAAACTTCAGACTCAGGCTTGAGTTAGAAGTAGAACGGAGCACTTATGGGTTACTACTCTTGTGTCATGATGTTAATCCGTTGTTTAAACCTAAACCTATTTACATTTAGGATTCGTTGTAGACATTGCATTTCTGTTATTTTGATTTGTCTTTTCCCTTTTCTTGTTAATGTCCTCGATTGACACCGGCAACAAAATGTTGGCAAGAAGCCTGTTTTGAATTGTGTGCTCTTTGTGTGATATGTTTATCAAAAATAAATCTACTTTATCACATCAGATTATACTAATCATGGAACAACACAAAACAGATTATGCCTGGCCCTTGGCAAGGATCATACGCATATGTCTAAAATGTGGCCGACAAAATGTTCTTGAAGGTAGTGTGACCGGTGTTATGTTGACAACATCACTCTCCTAGAGCCGAATGGTCTAAAATTTGAAGTCAGCATCGTAAGTCTCATGCGTCACATGAAAAAAAAAAAAAAAGACAGTTTTTACACATGTAAATGTTCGTAATGGTAAACTCACTGCAAAAATCAGAAAACGGATACATGAAGATGATTGTTTTACTGTGTGGATGATAGCCGATGAATCTGCTGTTAGCAGAGAGACCATTCATAACATTTTAGTGCACAATGTTGGCAAGAAGAAAAAAAAAGTTGCTTGCCGGTTTGTACCACATTCGTTGTCTGATGACCAAAAACATCAGCAGCTTGAGTACCCAAGAGGCATTATCAAAACAAGAAATTGGGGCCCAAAAATAGCCTTCTACCCTATTCCCAAGATGTGTCTCCCTGTGAATATTGTCTATTCCTAAAGTTAAAGTTACAATTAAAAGGAAGCTTCTTTAACGATACTGGTGACATCCAAAGGGCCGTAACATCGACTTCAAGAGCCATGACAACATAATAACGACAGAGGTCGTTCGAGTGTTTGTTAGATCGTGCCATCTACTGTATTAATGTACAAGGGGCTTACTTTGAATAAAATACAGGTCATATCTTTAACTGTTGATTATTTCTATTTTTATGGAATTGGTTTCATTACTTAATTGTCGGACCTTGTATCACTCCAACAAAACCTTAACGTGCCGTAATAACTGGAATGACCTGACAATATCATATTTTCCAAACATCACAATCAGAAGCCAGAAACCAAGTCCTTTGGACAGATGTATAGTAAACGTCAAACTTGGTGAGCTTCCAGTGGTCCCCGTGGTATAGCGGATAGACGCTCGCCTGCAGGTGAAGGTCGTGGGTTCGGTTCCTGAGGGAACCCTGCTTTCTTCAAAATGACATTGGCTCCCAGCCTCAAGAGGGTACCAGGTCCAGTGTTGGGAATTAAAGACGGCTGGCGTGCTGTTGACTACGTCGCCCACCAAATGCCGATTGGTCTATAAAATCTATCCAGCCCTATATGGCCATTACACCTAAAGGCGTGGAAAAAAAGGTCATCTACTTGACTTTACTTGATGAGCTTCAAACATGTCAAAGTAGGAAACCAATTTTTTGCAACAAAGGGGACTCCCCTTCTCCATTCTCAGCACTATGGTAGTAGGCAATCGACTCTTTTTAGGAAAGTAAAGAAGGGATACATTTTCATTGAGCTCACTAATTGCTTTTCCATTAATGTATTTTAGTATTAGGCAGGGTATAACCTATGTTGACCAAGGTACCACTGTGTAGCATAATGAATGTTGTAATAAGTGGGAAATCCCATGAGTCAGAAGGGTTTCCCCAGTCTGATGTGTTAAGGGTCAAGGGTCAGTTAATTTAGCGGGAGAAGGATAACACCAGTCTGGCATACCGTTAGTTGTTCACGCTTTTCATAGGTGAAGACTACCAACACCTGCCTGACTTATGTGAGATACAGTTAACCTTTCTACCTTCTCACAGATGGAGATTATCAACACATGACTGACACACCTTACAAAGTGTTAACCTGTCTCTCTTCTCACAGATGGATACTATCAACACCTGACTGACACACCTGACAAAGCGTTAACCTTTCTCTCTTCTCATGAGTGGAAAATTTCAATAGACTGACACACCTGACAAAGTGTTAGCCTTTCTCTCTTCTCCCAGGTTGATAATATCAACACTTGACTGACACACCTGACAAACTGTTTTTTCTTTCTTTCTTATTTTTACAGGTGGAGAATATCAATACTTGTCTGACACATCTCGCCGGACTTGGGATCAGCATAGAAGGTATTTGTGCTAAAGGTAGGTATTATCTTAAGTCACACAAAACAGAGTAATTATCTTCTTTCTTTCTTTCTTTCTTTCTTTCTTTCTTTCTTTCTTTCTTTCTTTCTTTCTTTCTTTCTTTCTTTCTTTCTTTCTTTCTTTCTTTCTTTCTTTCTTTCTTTCTTTCTTTCTTTCTTTCTTTCTTTCTTTCTTTCTTTCTTTCTTTCTTTCTTTCTTTCTTTCTTTCTTTTCTTTCTTTCTTTCTTTTCTTTCTTTTCTTTCTTTTCTTTCATTTCTTTCTTTTCTTTCTTTTCTTTCTTTTCTTTCTTTCTTTCTTTCTCTCTTTCTTTCTTTCTCTCTCTCTTTCTTTCTTTCTTTCTTTCTCTTTCTTTCTTTCTTTCTTTCTTTTCTTTCTTTCTTTCTTTCTTTTTTCTTTTTTCTTTCTTTTCTTTCTTTCTTTCTTTCTTTTTTCTTTTTCTTTCTTTCTTTCTTTCTTTTCTTTTCTTTCTTTCTTCTTCTTTCTTTCTTTCTTTCTTTCTTTTCTTTCTTTTCTTTCTTTCTTTCTTTCTTTCTTTCTTTCTTTCTTTCTTTCTTTCTTTCTTTCTTTCTTTCTTTCTTTCTTTCTTTCTTTCTTTCTTCTTTTCTTTGTTTGTTTGTTTATTTGTGTGTTTGTTTCTTTCTTTCTTGCTTTCTTTCTTTCTCTGTGTGATTGTTTGTTTGTTTGTTTCTATGTTTCTTTTTTTTTCTTTCTTTCTTTTTCTAAATATGTGTTTTTTAATCTTTCACCTGCATTTTTTTTTTTCTCCAGCCTAAGAATTCAATAGAAATATCTAAATACATTGAATACCGTTAAAAAAAATAAACACATACACACGCATACTATAATAAAACTTTAAAATCTACATACACAAACCCCATACAATAAAGCCACTTTCTTACATGCACCCCATGTAAATAGATATTCACATACAAGAGGACATATATATAATCACTTTAGAAAATGCACATCCAATGAATCAGCGTCATCAGCAGCAAATTTATTCACAACAAGAGTAGCACTCGCATCAACAGTAACACATGCAGTGGCAACAACAACAGAGACAGTAGCAGCAACAACAGCAGAAAAACCAACAAGAGCACACGTCCACTCCCCCCCCCCTCTTCCTTCTTCCTCCCAACCCTCTTAAAAAATACATCAAGACTAGCATCAGCAGCAGTTAAAATAGCGACAACAGCAGCAACCGCAGTAGAAGCACCATAAACAACAACATCTGCAGTAACAGGAGAAACAACAACCAGCAGTAAACCAAGTACTACTACGACTACTACTTACTACTAAGACTACTTTTTCTACTATACCAATACTGCTGCTACTACTGTTGCTGCCAACTACTACTACTGGTGCTGTTTCTGCTGTTGCAGCAACTTCTAGACCCTTTTTAGGCATGTACAACATTTTCAACTGCACCGACTGGTGACATCGTGTTGGGTGAAGCTAAAAGCTGAAGGCGGTAAAAGATAAAAAGTTAAAAAAAAAAATATTTCAATATACTTGCATGATGAGGGCGCTTGAACAGTGACTCTGCAAGGGCCTCATACAACGTAATTATGGCCTTGGCTGCTATCACCACTTTACTAATATCCGTGATACTACTATGATCACCACCACCACTAAACTACTGCAGCTACCACCACTACTACTGCTGCTGCAGCTGCTTCTCCTCCATTTACCCACAGTAAAGTATTGGGAAAAGGGAAATTAAGATCTACTTCTTTTTTTTTTCAGTGTGCTTCCTAAGTGTATCTTCTTGTCTCCACTGTTGTTTCCTTTTTTCCTTCTTTGCGTTCGGTTTTGAATGCTCAGATCAGACCATCAGGTGGGTAGCCTCTATGACTTGCATGTCAGTAGCAGGTTCTTAAGGGTTCCCCATTGCTTGCTTTGCATACTTTGCTATTGAGGCCAGGTGTCTTTTCAAAGTTGTAGGTAGAGTGGGCAGGTCTGCAGAATATGCTCATGTGTTTATGGTCCTGTTTGACAGGCACACTGTGGGGATTGTACAATCTTTATTTCATGCATGTTGTACTTTAGTCTGTAGTATTCTGTTCGTAGGCAGAAAACAATTGTTTGTTGCTTTCTGCTGAGTATGTTGATGGGGTCTTGTGGATGTTTACTGTTAGTTTGTTTTCTCCACAATTCCGTAAGTTTTCTTTAGATAAGTGATCTAATTTCTAGTAATGACAGTTAAATAGGCGTGTTGTTGATCCTTTGTTCCATTTTTTGCTAGTCAGTCTGCTAACTCATTTCGTGGTATGCCGCACTGGAGACGGTTGTTTCCGATGCCAGCACTTAATCTTTTATGTGGCCATCGGCTTAGTGCGCTTGTTTTTAACGCGACCCTCAGTCTTAGCTGGCAGGTGGAACAGAAATCCAAGCTGTATGAATGGTTTAAGTCTCAACTTGAAGTTGAAGGTACAGACTGACCTTCACTACCTTCGAATTTGCTGAGAAACCACAGGCTTCTAAATAACGAGGGAGGAACATAAACAAGTTAAATAAATACATTAAAAATAAATAAATCGCGTCTAATATTAAAGTTCTCCTATTGAGTGTTTAATTTGTTTACTTTGGCCGTTTGCTTCTTCTTCTCCCTAACTCCGCCAGAAAGTCCTGGTTGTTCATCCACCTCAGACATTAGTTTTGTTCCAGGATTTAAGTGTTGCGTGCTGCCACGAATCCGTCGTAGACAGATGCTTTTATGTAGAGCGTGAGTTTGAATCCCAATAGTCCCCCTCCAGTTGAGGACCTGAACTAGTGTCTGAGTTTAGGTAACGCCAGACAAAGATCTGGATATCCAAGAAAACAGCTATAGCTGGCTCATAATGTAAATAAACAGTAGCTGCACTTGGTACCCACAGGAGAAGGAAAGGGGTTTTAGATGTCAAGATTACTTTGATTAATGCAGTTTTAGACAGGACAGGTGACCCCTTCAGACAACCTGCTGCTGGTAAAGAATAATTAAAAAGTCCCCGACAAATGTAATGCTATCTAAGATTTTAGATAAACATATAAAAATACGTACACTTAGTATTTGAAAAACGATATAGTATAAAACTTGATAGATCGATTTATTATGCTATCAATCGTTTAGATGATATTTGTCAGTTTGCAATATTTAAACTGACTGGCTGATGGTATGGTGGTAACAAAATGCGTTAGCTACAGCAATTAGCACCTGATATTAGAGTGATGTTCTTTTGATGTTGATAAGTTCACGAACAAAAATGATCAACGTAATTTTGGATTCAAGTAAGGAAGAAACATCTAGCAGCCCTCGAAATGAGGCTCTGTCTATCTTTTCCCAGCCTGCTGATCTCGTACATATTGTAGGATCATACACTAAACCATCTGCTTATGATGGGTGCTGATTTGTCCTAGCCCCTGACGGAAACTTGGATAACAGAAAAAAAAAAATTGCTTATGTTTAGTGTCTATACTATAAACACAGCAAGATATTCAAGTGAATACCTCCTCATTTCCACGTTCTCTCCAGTCGAGTCTGAAGGTCTTTTGTCTAACACCTCAGTCCTGTCATGATATTTGAAGTTCTAGATCTTTTGCCGGTCTTCAGAACTGGCTGAATTTGTTTGACATTGACATGTGGTAATAGGTTATGTGCTAAAAAACCAATGCTATATATGTGCAGGCTTTCCCGAACATTATATTTTGAGTGAAAGTCAATCATGTACTCTCTTGGTTTTCCCATGGGTTGTCAGTCCTCGGGGCTAGGTAGGTAAACAAATTTCACTTGAGTACATGTTGGGCTATCAAAAACACGACAACATGGCTGCACATGTGAGCATATTATGTCCACAATCAATGCACACAATTTCTTTGGGGGAGGGGGGGGGGTGTTGTTTCAAACATAATAATTTCATTATATTTCAATATAATAAATATCAGTATTAAAGGTTTATTTAAACAAAACTGAATACATAAACTGAAAAACATGTAATAAACATTCAAGAAATAGGAATTGTTTACCAGCTCCCTGATACAGCTGAATACTCACAAATAACTAATTAAAGCAGAATCTGCACTTAGATATAATTCAGGAAAGGTAGAATAGAATAGCTAGACTCCTAACAGATGAATAAAAGAGTGAGAATAATATTAAGTCATATCTAGGAAAGTCCAGCAATGGTTAAAGAAGACTCACACAGCTAAGATGGCTTTCTGCTGTAGGTCTTACTGGGTGGCATGCTGATAGCAGTCTGAATTGCTTTCAAGACCCCTGGCTTTTTCACTTTCTCAGTCAGCAGAGTTTAGCTCCTTCCCCTTTTCTGCGTCAAAGGCTTTTCTTCGGGAGAGCCTTTAAGCTCCACAGATGAGGTACTTTCAAACACAGTTATCTCTCTCTGGAGCTGTCAATCAATTATTGACTGCCCACATACTGATCAAGATTTGTAAAGTGGGATCGTCTGGAATTTATCTGTCTTAGTAATTGGTGTGAAAAACCCGCCAAGTGAAGCTATCATGTCTAGAGTTTTCTCCTTGCTAAGGTTAGTTCCCCTAGTTGGCAGGTTCTGAGGACCTGATTATGTGATATTTCTGACACCCATTATGTTTGTTTGTTTTAGTATCCAGAAACCATGAGTTGTTAACCCTTAGGCTCCGATATCGCAATCTTTCGGCCTTGATTCCATTGTAAATACCGTAAATCTGGGAGAAATGTGGCTTTTCTGCCTACCCCCGGTAGTGAACCCGGACCAAAAGGAGTTCGTCACCCGGTCACCGCGCAATCCGGTTTAGCCAACTATGCTAGAGAGCTGGGCGATACCCATTGTTGATCTGACTACTATTTCACCTTTTCACGCCAAGATTAATGTTTTGAAACGTTCCCACTTGGTTTTCAATTCTTATGATGCTTGTTGGTGTCAGCAAATGCTTAAAAATAATTATAACTGTTTATTTATTTTTTTAAATTTATTTTTAGTTCTAAAAATTTCTTATTGATTCACTTTATAACATGTGTTAG